AATAAAAAATAAAAATAAAAGGCTTGTTGGGGCCGGGGAGATGGCTCAGTAGAATAAGTGCTTGCCTAGCAAGCGCAAGGGCCTGAGTTCAATCCCTGGGTCTACCAAAAAATAAAAATAAAAAGCTTGTCTCAGGCTGGGGAGATAGCTCAGTGTGTGCCTGGCAAACACAAGGTCCTGAGTTCAATACCCCATACCTCAAAAAAATAAAAGGCTTGTCTCTTGAGGTGCTTGTGAGGGTTAAATGAAATAATCTATTAAAACCTCCGTAGGACACAGTCATCAACGAAGCTTATAGGAAATTCTTAATAGAAGAAAATAGAGATCCTGAGCTCAGGAATAAGGTATATGCCTGTAATCCCAGCACTCAAGAAGTTGAGGCAGCTGGGTAGATAGCTCAGGGGCATAGGCATCTGCCTGGCAAGTGCAAGGTTCTGAGTTCAATCCCTGGTACAAAAAAAAAAAGAAGTTGAGGCAAGGGCCGGGGAGATGGCTCAGTAGAATAAGTGCTTCCTTGGCAAGCACAAGGGCCTGAGTTCAATCTCTCGTTCCGCAAAAAAAAGAAAGTTGAGGCAGGATTGCCATGAGTTTGAAAATTTGAAGCCAGCCTGGGCTACAAAGTGAGCTAAAAACAAACTGAACTACATAGTAAAACCCCATCTCAAAACCCACAAGAAGGGCCTGCCAAATAGCTCAGTGAAGTAAAATACCTGCAAGTCGGCCCAGGGGCTGGGGGTTTGATCCCCAGGCCTGCTGGGCCAGCCCTGCCCCTGGTGTGTGCTGAGACAGTGATTGAGACTGGGCGTGGTGGCATGTAATCCCAGCTCTTGGGAGGCTGTAAACAGGCGGATCACTACAAGTCTGATCTAGTAGTGAGACCCTGAACACCCTGTAGAACCTTCCCTAAAAATACAAAAAAATAAAAGTAGAAAAACCAGCAAGGCACTTGGAGCCAGGCTGGTGGCAGTATGTGTGTAATCCCACCACTGTAATCTCAGTAAAATTTAGACAGTATCTCAAAAAAGTTCAGGGCTGGGCAGATAGCTCAGTGGACTAAAGCACCTGCTTAAGCAAGCCAGGGTTTGATTCCCTGCGTGCCGGCCACACCCCTGGGGTGCACTGAGACTGGGCATGGTGGTGTGCACTTGTAATCCCAACACTTGGGAGGCTGAAAACAGGAGGATCACTATGAGTTCAATCTGTGTAGTGAGACCTTGTGGACCCTGTACTAAAGTACCAAAAAAAAAAAAAAAAAAATCCAAAGGCTATTGGCCCTTTCCGAACTTGATGGGATCATACATAAGCCTGCTCCCCACTAGGTGCACTTGTCTCCACCTGACTTAATTAGTAAACTTTTTGGGTGTGGTGCTAAGGCCTGCAACCCTACCACACTGGCAGGCTAAGGCAGGCAGATTTCAACTTCAGGCTCAGCCCAGGCAATTTAGTACTTGATGATATCCTGTCTCAAAAATTAGAAAGGGTTGGGGATATAGTACAGTTCAGAGTCCGTAGGTTCAATCCCTACCCCATGGAAAGAGATCACTTTACCAGACAGCCTCCCCTCCACCCCATTCACAGCCACGGCGACATCTGTGAAATGCAATTTATTATACAAAACAAGGTGCATCAAAAATTCAGTGTCACAAGATCTCTGCATTCTAAGGGCTGGGGACTGGACCCTTTTTCTAAAAAAACATTCTCCCCAAACCCTTTTTAAAGAATCAGGCCATGCATACAGGTCCTCCACCTTCAAAGACCTACCCCATTCCCAGCCTGGGCCCACTGTGACATACATGTGTAAGTGTGGGCCTAGGGTACTGGTGCACATTACCCCTTCTGCATGGGGCCACCGCAGGTGTTGGCTTAAATCTCCAAAACAGGAAGACTTTTTCCTAGCAAAGGCTGGACCTGGGACTGTTGTAGAAACACGCAAATGCCCTCCACAACTGAAGTAAGACCATCAAAACTGGGGGATGGGGAAAAACTTGCCCCCAAGTGCTAACCGTGAAAGATCTGTTCAACTGTAACAGGTTGACAGAATTCAGAGGACAACTTGCAGGCATGTAACCATCTGACTCCCACATCCTGTAAAGGGACAGGTGCTGATGGTCAGCAGCTGGGATCCCTCAGGAGTTCCCTGCCTCCCCTCCATCTACCCCAGCATCCTTGGACTAAGGAAGAGCCACTGTCCCCAAGCCCAAGAGTAGAGCTTGCAAAACACATGGGACAGACCGGCAGGGAAAATCTCTGGGAATGTGGGACCCCATGGGCAGGAACCTGGTTTCTGCCTGAGTGGACACAGGAAGTGGCTCCAGCCAGGGCTAGGGAATGAGGTCTGCGGGCTCCTGGGGCCTCTAGCCGACCTCTGAGGGAGGCAGTGCTGGCTGCAGAAGCTAACAGCTGGCTCACACAGCCTGCAGCTCCCCCTGCAGGCGGCTCAGCTCTTCTAGCTCCTGCTTGTGGCGGTCTGTCTTGTGGGTGACTAGGGAGCGGTAGAAATGCAGAGCAAAAGCCACAAACACAAGTCCTACAGGTACCATGATTGCTGTGGAAGCCATCGCAGCTTGCCAGCCTGGCCCGTGAGTCCCATCACCACCACATGCTTGCTGGGGTGGGCAAGCCTGCGAAGGCTTAGCCTGTGATGGGGCTACAGAAGCAGAGGATGGTGGGAGGCTGGGAGCCGGACCAAGGGAGGTAGCCGCTGGTGGCAGAGTCCCAGTCACCTGGGACGGAGGTATCACGGGGGCTGGTGTATCTAAGGGGGCCCCAATGGGCACAAATTTGACCCAGCCCACCAGGACAACTTCAGCCAGGAAGAGAAATGTGCCCAAGGCAGTGGAGAAGCCCCAGGCCAGCTCCACATAGCGGTGAAGTCGTTGGTGTGGTGACTGGTGGACAGAATTGAGGTTGTGGATGTTGCTCACAGCTTCAATATGGGGCAGTAGACACGTGGAGACCATGAGCGCAAAGAGGTGTACAGCCACCAACACAGTGGTGCAGGCACTGAAGGCCACCAGCAGGCCTGGTGGGTACTCATGGTCGTTCTCCAGCTGTACCTCCACCATGGCCACCTGTGGGCACAAGAGGGAAAAACTGAATGCTGAGACCTCTTTCATAATAGAGGGGTTCTGTTTGTTTATTGTTGGTCTCGATGTACAGTTCAGACTGGACTTCAGCTCACTTTGTAACTCAGGCTGGTCTCAAACTTGCATCAATCCTCCTGCCTCAGCCTCCTGAGTGCTGGGATCAAACCTGGCTCCTAGATGATTTTTTTTTTCTATTACAACACAATACTTTTTTTTTTCTTCTGGCCAGCAGGTGCTTATTACCACTGAGCTGACTCCTCAGCGCCCCCCCATTTTAAATTTTACGTATTTGGTACAGGGTCTCACTACACTGCTCAGACTCATAGTGATTCTCCTGTTTTAATCTCTCCAGAGCTGGAATTACAGGTGTGCACCGCCATGCCCTGTCTCAGTGGCCAGCTTGGCAAGCCCAGGCAGGGCTAGCTTGGCATGTGGTACCAGGGATTGAATGCAGGTCATTTTTGCCAGGAAGGTGCTTAAACTGCTGAGCTATCTCTGCAGCCCAACATTCTTATATCTCTAGGACCTAGAACGACGTGCCTGACAGAAAAAGCACTCAGCCTTAAAAGGTTCTGTCCTGTCCTGGGCCTTGGTTTCCCCAGCTAGCCATCAAGAGGACTAAATGAGGAGGCCAGGGAGATGGCTCAGTGGAAGAAGTGCTTCCCTGGCAAGCGCAAGGGCCTAAATTCAATCCTTGGTTTTGAAAAAAAAAGAATATCTGGGTATAGTGGCACACACCTACAATCCCAGCATTGAAAGGCTGAGGAAGGTGGATCTGAAGTTTGAGGCCAGCCTAGACCACATAGTGAGGTCCTATCTCAAAAAAACCAAACAAATGCATATACACAAACAGAGCATAGTGCCCCACTTTGTGAATCCTAGCACTGTGGGAGGGTGAGACAGGAGGAGTGGCCAGCCTGAGCCCACTCTAGGTAACTTAATGAAACCTTGTTTCAAAAAAGAACTGGGGATGTAGTTCAGTGCAGAGGCCTGAGTTCAATCTCCACCAGACAGACAGACAGACAGACA